AGAGAGAGAGAGAGGCACACACATGTTGAACGACGAAACGCATGTAAAACATACCCGTTCTCACATGCCCGATATCAATGAAGTGATCCTCACTGGCGGCTGCAATCACTTCGCCGTCAAAAGAGAAACCGAGAGTGCGAACTGGCCATTCCAGACTGTACAGTGTGCATACCACAGGGTGAATCAATATGCCCACAATACGAGATGCGTATGGGAATACGGTCAGGGATGAAACAAGGTGATAAGACAAGGGCGTCAGATTATTTGCAAACACAACAGAACACACGAATAGGGGTACCGAATTCTGTACAGTAAATTCGGAAATGCGGAAAAATACACACGATCAAACAATCGACGGGTGAGTAGGGAACGGACAGCACACATAAGTAGGAACACGCACCTACAACTACGTATATGAACAACAAAAACAATAACAAGTATTTGAACAACCACCCGGAGGAATGAGATGTTCACTGATTCGGTTACGGCTCAACGTGAAAGACCTTTGTTGTCAATTAGTAAGTTGAAAAGTGAAATGTGCCTAATTGAAAAACTGTTCAACATAAATAACACAATTAAGACAGCATTCGAATACAACTTTATCACTTTATCACTGATGCTGGAATCGAATAAACGGATATGAGAGAACCAAACTTGCCTTCAGTGAACTCGATAAAATAAACCAAAATCAGTGAAAGATTCTCTGGTGCGTCCTGAAGGCGATGGAGCCAGAGAGCAGGATGCAATAGATCAATTCAAAATCGCATTGTCGACCAAGCAAGATGAAAATAACGACTAAGTCTGCGCAAGATGAATCCATGTATCAAGATTCATGGAATCCGTATGCCATTGGAGTATTTAACTACTCGGTCCATGCTCCACTGCCATGGATCGTCGGTGATACAAACTAACACTTGATCACACAACACTCTGAGTCAAGGAGAATATAAGAAACTTCACTATGCCGCCGCTTGATAGTATGTTTTTTTAATGCACACCTCAGCGAGGTGAACAGTAAAATGGGTAAACCATATATTGATCACCACATTTTGTTCACTCACGGTAAAACAAACAAACTGGGACTTGAGCGGGCTAACAACGAAGCTGTCTATCACTAAAGTTGGACAATGGCGGTGGTAGGGTTCCAACCGCAGACTTGATGTGTTGTCACTCCAATTCCCACAACTCAGGTTACCGGTAAATTCGTGGGACAATGAGATCCATCCATTCAACTGCTCAATACAGCTATAGACTCGGATATTGGCTTTTATTTTCCCAACTCTATTGAAAATACTCTCGACAAGTAGGAATTACTGGCAGATGCACTGACAGGCGCACTAAATGAGAGCATTTCTTGGTGTGAGAACGGTGCCCCAACCATTGTAGAAGAGACAGTAACACAAAAGCGAACCAGAAAAGTTTTTAATTTAGAAGACGCTTTCCTCAGTAGTGCGATTTCGTCTGTATACTCCAAATTAGGCAGATTATCGTCTGAGAGCGCATTGTCGTCACTATTCTCGCATACATACAGAGCCATTATTATAACAATTTCCAGTACGAAGTTGAAAATAAAAAGGGGCGTCTCTGACGAACATCGCTTTTATGGCGAACTCGGGCGAAAAAGAGCTTTTAGCTCGAACGCTAAATTAAAATTCAGTGGGTGTACGGAGAGACACCATCGGAGCACATTGCAGTCAAATGAGTTGGAAGGTGCTTTCAGAGCAAGCTTCTAGTCCTAACAAGAAGCAAACCTCAAGCGGATTTTATAACCCGAGGAACAAATCCAACCGGGCCGGGATACTACACAAAATAGGAAAGCAATATCACGACCACGTGCGTTGGACAATAGTCGCACAATTATCAGCGCAAGCTTACCGGGACTGAGTACGCAGACACACGAATTCGTCGGAATCCCAGATTGAAACTAACGCATCAGCACTGCCCACAGCAAAATATTTCCCGTTAGGAGAGAACTGCAAACACATGGCATTTACCGGATGCGCCAACAAACTGGTCTCTCGTTTCATGTCACCCGGTTTGCCGCTGACGGGAAACAGGACGGGGGAACAGAAAACTATTACGTGTCTGCAAAGAGGAACATATGTGATGAAAAACTTGCAATATGGTCTCTAATTTTTCGGAAGGCGATCAAGCGCAAATCACATTCAATATAATCTAGTGTGCATAAAATCAGCTAATTGACCAACCTTGAGGCAACACATGGTTTCACTCATTCCTTCGAGGTAAAGTACCCACGGACTTTTTCATTCTCGTAAAGGCCTGATGTTTCATGGATTGGGACGAAGTTTTAGATCGCGGCACCGCAACCTTCATTGATACTCGATAACTCTTTCACAAAATAATTGCGTTTGGTTACGGAATCGATTCACATTGAATGTGAGTCGATTCCGTTTCGCTGCGTGACTGACCTAGTCCAGTAAATTATATGTGGAAATAGAAGAACCGATCATGTCAACAGTTTCCTAGTAAAATGCAATTGGTTGATTCACCTAAAATTCCCGCGGTTTCACATGACGCTGAAAGTTTGGACTTTATGGTAAATAAGCGTTAACTCTGTGCTACTCATGAGTAGTATGGATGTAAACGCATAAAATAGCAGCATGGTGGTACGCACGTTAAGAAAACCACGGTCCCCTGGCACCAGACAGATAAACCCAGCCACCAGGAATCGTTTTTAGTCAGCTTTCTTGGTGATCACTTCTGAGAATTGGAGGGCTCCACAAAACTCTATGATAATGCTCTTGTCCCATGCAACTAATGTCGCAAACAGTTTCTCACTAGGGTTTGATTTCTAACGAAATGGTTGAAGTGTGGGAGAGGGGATGGAATTGTGTCATTCCGTGTTAAACCAGGAAAAAGAATAAATGCAGTACTCGTGAGCATGGTGTTTGTACGAAAGCTCAGAGGAAAACGTAAAATTCACACAACAGCACAACAACATCAGTGTCAGGATCTCTGAAGCGCGAGAGGGGGCAAAGATGGACACTAAAGTAAATCACTTTCCGTTCGCAAAAAACAGAAATTCTGATGTGGCATAGGAAAAGTCATTGTGTAAAGGGAGATTAGTTGCTAACCTGTAAACCAGTATGCTTCCCAGCCCAGTGGTGAGCAAAAAAATATCACTGTTCGGTTTCCATGCGAACTCGTTGATTTCGAAGTTGAATTGTTCCGATTGGATCAGTTTGAGACCGGCTCGAACATCCAACCATGAAATCTGAAACCGATCGCAACACAGTAGAGGTGACCACTGACGGAGAGAGAACAGATTGCATGATCAAACAGAGATGAAACAGAAAAACTTGAAACTGGAGCAACACGGGGGATATTTGATGGTATTGTACATATATCCAACTTGACTGTTGATGAAAGGCACCAGTCACGCACATATTATCAGATCAAGAACAAAGTTCAGGGAAACAGTTACTGCTTTTCAAGTCTCATGGAATTGTGAGTGTTGTCACCCGGATTAGCATTATTTGGCAAAAAAATTGCACCTTCAAAGTGTAAAATGTTACTACAAGACTGGGCTGATCCAGCTCCCAACCTCACTCTAACTGGGGAAGTAATACAAAACATGATTAAGTTTTCCTATTTGGGCAGCTACATCTCACCCGGTGAACAGCATCACGCATGAAGTGTCAGCTCGCATACAAAGGGCTTGACTGGCGTTTGACAACTTGAGATATCTGTGGCGCCGTCGCGATAACCCGCTGTCCGTGAAGGGTCGAGTGTACGCTGCGGCAGTTCGGCCAGTTCTGCTATACGGCACAGAAACATAGAGAAAACAGAATAAAGATAAATTGTCGGTGTTTAAACACCACTATTTAAGCAGCATTGCACGAATCTGGTGGGGCAGCAGGGCGAGCAATGCTGAGATGAAGCGCAGAGTTTTAGGTATTCACGGTCGCCCACTGGAGCAAATGATCGACCTCCACAAATTACGTTTGTTGGGGAGTGTTGTGCATGTCATCAGATAGGTTGCCACGGGGAGCGATGTTTGCCGAAGTAGGTAATGAGTGGAAGAAAGCCAAGGGTGGTCAAGCTAAGACCTGGAATGAGGGTATGAAAATCCTGGCCAGGGGACTGGGTCACACAGGTCCCGTTAGACTCCCTGGACGGGGACCTCGGGTTGATCATACCCGATAGTTAGATACACTGAGTGGTATGACTGAGTGTCGTAAACAGTGGCGTTCGTGCATCTTCTCAATTTCTCTGCAACAGTAATCCACTTAAATTTCAAATTTTCTCTTTGGAACTACATTCAACGTTTCCTGTTTCTCTCCTCATGTTCATCCAATTGGGCAGTCAAAAGACAAACCAAAACTGGCGCATGGTTATTGGTTGCACACACTGAAACTGAATTTGGCAAAAGTACATTTATAAGACGTATTATGCGATCCGCCTCTTCAGCACAGATATTTTTCAAAGCAACAAAGGAAATTTCCGTGGTACGTTTGATCATGTAAAGGACAAAGGAAATATGAACTGAACAGCTCGATGCATAGGAAAGCTTTTAGGAATTCGTTGGGTACCATCAGCAACAGTGAGAATCTAGCAAACAAACTTGATAGAAAAATGAATCTCACAGAGAGAACGTAAGTAGTATACAACTCATTTGACTACTGGACACCGGATCAAACTGCTATCTTTTAACGTTTTGTCCATACGCAACTGGGCACACGGATATGCTGTGGTGCATGACATTTTTTTTAGTTCACGCTTCTTTTTCTTAAGCCAAAGAAAATTTCCAAAGACAGGATTTTTTTACTCGCTACCGGAAACGAATCGCATGGGCAACGATAATATCGTCCATCACAGTACAAAGTATGGCTACAATGCATTACTAGTATTATTTCAACACGTAACCAATGACAGGACTGGCAAATGTGCCACATATGCACAAAGATAAATCTGTAGAATGTGTTCCTGAGTTGTATAGAAATGTTACTTCCAGGTTGCCCTGACCGAAGAAGGGGGATAACCTCGGGGTCTTCACCCGAAACCTTTGGCTAGAAAGCCAGACCTGCAAAACAGCAAGACGAAGCTCAGAGTCCGCAGTCCATCGGGGAGGGGGGGAGTATACCACAACTTATTCACAGCTAACTTCTTCGATGAAGATATCTACAATCCGGGGACGCGCCTGGTAGCATTCAGCTCTGCTTAACCCCAGGGTACCCAGGGTGGGGACATGAATGGCAGGTTGGTCACCTGTTTCTCCATAAAAGTCACATGAACTCAATGATGGTTCTATGATAAAGACCGATGTGACTGGCCTTTTAGAAGTAAAACCACTGACCCTCCTCCACATGAGGTGAGGGTAAAAGAGAAACGCAGAATTGCTATCATCAGATGACGTTCACTAGCATGAAAAATCTACTCTATAGCGGCCAAAGGCGAATATGCTCTTTCTCTCTCCTTGAGGCTCACGATCCATTGAGTAAGACTACTCGAATGGCATATGAACGACAACGGTCACCAGTAATTATAGGACCTCAACACCCGACGTTTTCCCGATGTCTTGCGATTTCAGTTTTTAATACCCACAGGCTCCAAATGGAACTATCTAAGAAAGCTCCTTTAACCGGTTTGGGCACGTGCAAGGTATTGCTTCGGCTGGCGCTGGGGACGAAATCATGTACAAAATTCCTAAGATGCTTCAGGGTCATCAAATCTATGAAACCCACTCATTCTATCACAGAAGACAGACGCATAAAAGTAAGTTTCCCAAGCCCGTGATTTATAGTGTGCGCTTTGAGGTCGTCTCATGATTTGTGATTCCCTGTACGTAGTGTACTTTATTTCCAGAGAAAGGGATGCTTAAAACGAAACGTGCAATAATCAGTTAGAACAAACACTCACCAAATCGGTCTTACTTCCAACTGCGATGCACCGACCATCAGATGTCCACGCTAGGTTTATATTTTCACCTTTCAGTTGTGCTGTTACAGGATCCTTTTTGGATCGACAATCCCAAAGTCGAACTGCCCCATCTGCACCCACTGACGCTAGCACGTCTTGATCGTTCGGATGCCAAGAGAGTTGATCGACACTCTCATTATGACCGCGAAAGGTCTGCGCTTTGCTCTAGAACAACGACAACAATACAAGGTAATCCTTATTTGGGAATAGAAATCGGTGGCATTACCAGTCGGGTACCGTCCAAAGTGTACACATTCACCAATTTATCTGACGATCCGGAGGCCAGTCGGCTTCCTGTGGCATTCCATGCCAATGTGTGAATTTTTCCACCATAACCGGGAAACTCTTTGATTCGTGAGTGTCTCGAAAAATGGCTGCGGATACGAGTCAAATCGTTTGCTCCCATAGAATTTCAACTTCTGATCCAACACGAAAGAATATTGGGTTCGGAATCGAACTAGAGAATAAAAAATGAACAATATTCTTGAATAGATAAGGTGCAAAGAATCCAAAACCAGATTTTCCGCTTAAAGAAAATCACAGGAACAAAGATGAAGTCACAAACCAGGGAGAAAAAGAAATGAAGAATTCATCAACACTCATTGGCAATCGGATTCATTTTTAACCACATAAAGAGGGACAAAAAATCCATTTTTACGCTGCTCAATAAATTCCAGGGCTTAGACTTCCGCCTTCCATGATTTGATAATATATATATATATATATATATATATATATATATATATATATATATATATATATATATATATAT